CCCGCTCCCCTCACGATGCCCGCCCGCTCCCCTCACGATCCCCGCTCCCCTCGGCCCCGCTCCCCTCCCGATGCCCGCTCCCCTCACGATCCCCGCTCCCCCGGGCCCCGCTCCCCCGGGTCCCGCTCCCCTCCCGATGGCCGTTCCCCTCACGATTCCCGCTCCCCTCAGCCCCGCTCCCCTCGGCCCCGCTCCCCTCAGCCCCGCTCCCCGGGGCCCGCTCCCCTCCCGATGCCCGCTCCCCTCACGGTGCCCGCTCCCCTCCCGATGCCCGCTTCCCTCACGGTGCCCGTACCCCTCACGATGCCCGTCCGCTCCCCTCACGATCCCCGCTCCCCTCAGCCCCGTTCCCCTCCCGATGCCCGTTCCCCTCACGATTCCCGCTCCCCCGGACCCCGTTCCCCTCCCGATGCCCGTTCCCCTCAGCCCCGCTCCCCTGCCGATGCCCGCTCCCCTCACGATCCCCGCTCCCCTCACGATTCCCGCTCCCCTCAGCCCCGTTCCCCTCCCGGTGCCCGCTCCCCTCCCGATGCGCGGCCCCGCGGGGCGGGCGGGCGCGCGCGCGGCCGGAGCCGGAAGCGCGGCGCGCGCAGGAGCCGGTCCCGCCATGAGCCGCCCGCCCGCGCTGCAGGCTCCGACCTGCGGGCCCTGGGAGATGCGGGAGCGCCTCGGCACCGGCGGCTTCGGAAACGTCGTCCGCTGGCACAACAAGGTAGGCGGCGGGCCGGGCCCGCGGGGCGCGCCCCGGAGCGGGGCCCCCCGCGCTCAGCCGGCCCGCGCCGTGTCCCGCAGGAGACCGGCGAGCAGGTGGCCATCAAGCAGTGCCGGCAGGAGCTGAGCCCGCGCAACCGCGACCGCTGGGCGCTGGAGATACAGATCATGAAGAGGTGAGGGGGCCCGGGGTGCTCGCGGCCGGGCCCCGGGAGGCGGGTCGGGCGGGTGCCGAGGGAAGTGCCGGGAGAGGCCGCCGGGGATCCCTTCCGGGCGGTGCCCGCTCCTCCGCGCTGACAGACCCGGCCCTGCGCCCCCAGAGCCCGGGGTCGCGGTGCCGCCTGTGCGAGGCTTGTCGCTGAACCTTCTCTGCTGTGCCTGTGCGCTGAAGGAGCGCGCTGTCTGCACATGAAATGCAGAGAGTTAGGATGAGTCCAGGACCGTGCAGGACGGGTGAATTGCAGACCTTTAGAATCCACTAGTTCGGTTTCCAAAAGGGTTAGTGACCGTGTAGGACTTGGAGTGATGACCACGAGCTTGCGAAGCTGTGTAGGAGTTGCAGCACATCGCGTGTACTTGCCTTATTTTCGTTCCTCAGGCTCAACCATCCCAATGTGGTGGCTGCCCGGGATGTCCCTGAAGGGATGCAGAAGCTTGCACCAAATGACCTGCCCTTGCTGGCCATGGAGTACTGCCAGGGCGGAGACCTCCGCAAGGTGAGGGCCCTGGGAAGGTGATTGAGGGCTGGATCAGCTTCTCATCCCATCCCAGGTGTTCTGTTCAAGTTTTCCCATAAAATCTTTGTTTTCACATCCTGATGCTTCGTAGTGGTGGCATCAACAGATTCCTCAAAGTGATTAACTCCTGTCTGTCAGAGGGAAAAATAACACAGGATAATTCTAATCATAAGGTTTTTCTAACCCTTGCTATAATCTGCCTGTAGATAAAAGCCTGAGGTTTGAGCTGATCCTGCCACGCGCAGGGGAAATGGCTGAGAAAGGTGGAGCAAGTAGAAGGATGAGAATGGGATGACCCTGACTTCTCTCACCCACTCTGTTATCCTCCCATGCCATCAGGCCAAGGCCTGAAGCTGTAATTGCTGCTACCAGAGGTCACAGACCGTAGAGTTTTGTGCCTCTAGAGAATTTGAGTGCTGTTCCTTAGACTTCTTGCATCCCTGAGAATCTGTGGGACTGCGAGCCTCGCTCAGGTTAGAGGAGGGAAAGCCTACACTCTGTGTTGTTTACCTGCAGTACCTGAATCAGCTGGAGAATTGCTGTGGCTTGAGGGAGGAAGCCATTCTCATCCTGCTGTCTGATATTGGTAAGTGGCTGCAGCATCTCCACTGCCTGAACTAGGGAAGACCTTTTAGTGCTGAATCCACTCTGCAAATATGCAGCTGTGACCTTAATAACTACATCTTAGTCTGACCTTTTATGATCATCTGCCAAAGGTTTTGGGAGTCTGGGGAGGCCCCTGCTGACTTGACAGTAGCCAGCATTATTACAGGTTACAAGAAGGATGGGAGGGAGCACCCAGGGAGAAAACTCTGCTTGTGCCCAGGGGTGTTTGATGCTGACTTTCCTCTTGCACTTACGTGTTTCATTGTACAAGATTTGACCCAAAAGCCTTGCTTATAGTAGGTAGGACTGAATCCTTACCAAGCTCCTGCTAGGTACTGTTAATTATGCTCTTAGAAGTGGCTTTTTCTGTGTCTCAGCTTCTGCTCTCAGGTACCTTCACGAGAACAGGATCATCCACAGAGACTTGAAGCCAGAGAACATTGTGCTGCAGCAAGGAGAGCAGAGGGTAAGCAGAAACCAGGTGTCTCTACCTGCACACACAAGTAAGTGTCAGAGGAGGTGCATGTGGTCCCTCTGCAGAGCACTCCACCCATCTGTGTCAGATGGATAGTGCTCTGTGTGCAGCTCAGAGATTGTATTAGCCACCTGTTAACACCTGACATTTTGACTTTCAACTATCAAGGAGAGAATCAGGCTGTACTGATGGACCAGGGATCGGAGAGAGCTGGAGACAGAACTGCCAAATGTGTGCCAAGCCCACGACAACTTCACATGTGTTGTGTTTTAGGAATCTACAGTAGCCTCCCATTTCTGCTTCCCTCTCTTCCTTGGCACCTTTCCTGCAGACCTTTGAAGAGCTGAACCTTTTCTTTCTGCTGTATGATGTGCTTTTAACAGGACTTCAGTCTAGTGTTCTTGTTCTCTGCTGTGTGTTTCAGTTAATACACAAAATCATTGACCTGGGTTATGCTAAGGAACTGGATCAGGGCAGCCTGTGCACATCCTTCGTTGGGACTCTGCAGTACTTGGTAAGGAAGGAATTCAGCTGGAAGAGCAGCTCCTGCTTTCCAGTGGGGTAGAATGAACTGTTATCAAGCTTTGGGCTGGGATGAGGTCCTTGTGCTGGTGTGGGGTGCATTTGGGGTGCTGCAGCAAGCAGAGGTGGCCCTTTTTTTGCTGACACTGTGTTCTCAGTGTCTGCCAACTCTGTCAGAGCAGGAGGGCCAGTGACCTGTGCGGGTCACTCTGGGAGGGTCTCGAAGCTTGTGTTCCATAACATCTTTAGTCTGGTGTAGGAACATTAGTGAGCTGTCAAGGGACAGAGAGAGCCAAGAGATGGGTGGCTTTGTCTTATGTGTGTCACTGTGTCAGGCTCCAGAGCTGCTGGAGCAGCAGAAGTACACGGTGACAGTGGATTACTGGAGCTTTGGCACACTGGCCTTCGAGTGCATCACAGGCTTCCGACCCTTCCTGCCCAACTGGCAGCCGGTGCAGTGGTGAGTGAGCTGGGCTGGGTGACAGGAGGGGACCCCATGTCTCTGTCCTGTTTACAGTCCCTTGATTCTTAGGACAACATCCCTGTGTTCCTTGCCCTTATGGAGACTGAGTCCCTTCACAGGAGTTTGACCTACCTGAGCAAGTTCAGCATTCCTGATACTTGCCCTCTGGGATAAGGTCTGACTCCTGCAGGGCAGGTAACAGAAAGCAAAGTGGCATCTGTATTACATCTGTCAAGAGTAGCTTTAAGCTTTAAGAGCCTACTATCATGCAGACTGGGAAAGGCAGGTCAGTGTTTCACTGTTGTACTTGCTTCAATTCCTCAGGCACACAAAGGTGCGTCAGAAGAGCGAGCTGGATATTGTTGTCTCAGAAGACTTATCTGGAGAAGTCAAGTTTTCCAGCAGTTTACCCTGCCCAAACAACCTAAACAGGTGTGCACTGGGAATTGCCCTGCTGAGATAAACTGATTCTTCTGCATAAGGACCAGGTTTATATGATACACTGTGGATAAATTGAGTGCATGACACAGACAGTACTCGTGTCACTTGTCAGACTTGTGAGTCTCTAAACACTGCACTTGTGATGGTTGGGGGATCGGGGTGGGGGCAGTTGTTTGTCAGTCCTCCTGCAGAGTCCAGGCCATGTGGTGACTGCAAATGCACTTTTACTTCTTGTGATCCCCTTCTGTTCTTGATTGTTCAGTGTTTTGTCTGCGAGGTTGGAGAAATGGCTGCAGCTCATGTTAATGTGGCACCCACGTCAGAGAGGGACAGATCCTACATATGGACCCTACGGGTGTTTCAAAGCCTTGGATGACATTTTGAACTTGAAGGTGAGCAGTGGGTCTGTATTATCCTGAAAAGTTTTCCAGAGAGCAGTTGCCTGTAGCCCATGAGAGAAGGTGCTTGAGTCAGAGGCCTGGGAGGAGGAGGAGTGGCACAGAAGCTCATGGAGCTGTCTCCTGACAGTGAAGGGGCTCTTGTCCTCTTGCTTCTTTGAGGACAGATACTCCTGAGCTTGTTGGGAGTAGCAAATAGCTTCTGTGTGTGCTTAGTTCCATGTTCTGGTAGAGGATTCTGCAGCTGAAGCTGTTTAATGTCCACGTTTGGCATAATGTTATGAAGTGGCTGCAGAGTGACCTCCTGAGCCCACCAAGTGCTTTGAACAGTT